CTCTATCCCAGACAGTCACTCTGTTTACTGCCTGTCCAAAACACTATATATACAGTATTTAATTTCTAACAGGAATATTATCTAAAACCAGGCTCTTGAAGCAATGGCATTTGATGGTTACTTGAATGAATTTTTGTATTAACTCAGCCATCTCTGTGATGTGATTTAAGCTACAGGAAAAAAAAAAAGCTTTTAAACAATTTTGATTTGGCAAAGGGAGAGATGTTTATCTATAATAAAGTTAAATTTTAAGTCATTGAATTGGAGGCCTAAGAGGTTAGATTGATGCTGTGAAACTAACAATCCATAATGGTATATACCATCACAATATTCTAGAATATAATATTGTCAGGACTTGGTATAGTATGAGTTTCTCTGCTTTGAAGACCTTACATTTTTGGATTGCCTCATGAGACTTACATACAATACTTATACAGTTTTTCAAACTCTTCCAGAAAATGGAAAGATGATATCCCACAACTTGTGTAAATACACACCATGGTTGAAATTAATTCAGCTCTTAAGGTGAATCATAACACAGCATAAAGTTCTGAGGCCCCTCCACATTCTGAAAGTGGACCTAATTCAATACACTGTATTCTGTTTCAATGCACTGTATTCATAATAACAGAAGCTCATTTAAAAAAATACTCCCCTAGCTTAATCCTTGAATCAGTAATATACTGTTAGCATGAATTCTCCTATTAGTCTCCTTTCATTTACTAATTTCTTTGAACCACACTTGAATTTGAGAAACGTCATAGTTTCACCTATGCTGAAGTTCACATTAATGAATATAGATGCTTAAATATTCTATCTAACAAGGCTGTTAAAATGTCATAATAGTGGACATGCTAACATTGAACGTAAATTTGCGTGGAATGTTTTTAAAGCTTTCCAGGTGAAAGTCACTGTTTTCTGCTGAGACTGGGGGACCATCATTGTGGAAGGTATATATCAAGATTGTTCTTTTCATATTTTAAACTTACTTGAGGGTTGTATCTATGAACTCTGCTATGGATTACTTTTAAATGTAAATTTAGTGAATTCTTTTGGTATCTCTTGGATTGGAATCCTAGGGACATTGTCTTTACAATTTAACTGAAGATTGCATAATAGCATAGATTACCGGGAAAAACCACCAAACACATTAGGAATTAAACCTGAATTTGACAGGTAGATTTTTTTCTCAAGTGTTTGAAGGTTCTTTGAGAAAACATATGGAATGTTCTGTGTATAAGAATTGTTGATTTGTAATATCATGGGTTGAATGTACAGATTTAAGCCTTCTGAGTGAAATTCAGGGTTGTGTCACATGTGAATACTTTAAACCAGAAATCTGTCATACTTTGCAGCCCAAAAGGGAGGGAAAAGTTTGTTTAGCTTGGACAACAGAAGGCTGAAATTTGTTAAAAATATTTTGTACCTAACAAATTAAATTTTACCATCTCTTATTAATCAGAGTATGGCACCCACTTGAGTTGTCTTTTTGTCGTATTGTGACAAACAGAGTACAAGGTATGAAGTTTAAACACTGGAATGTCAGTAGTCTTTGATTTGTAATTTAGGAGTTGTTTTTATTTACCTGAGGATGTTTGTATATTTTGTAAATTACTAACAATGTTCTGCCATCCTGGTGAATGTCATGGTTCTGTACAAATGCACTTCTTCTGTCCTTCTGTTGCATGTCTGGGTAGTTCAGAAGTTTTGTATATTTATTGTATTAACACAGTGTCATAGACTAAAAAAATACTTTTTTCCTAGGTGTTCTCTCTGTATAGTTTTGACCAATAATGGGGATTTTTCTTCTAACAGTCAGGGTGATGTGCAGGGACGATGATCTGTGTAAAAGTCTGACTTGCTTTTTATAATTCTGTATATAGATGCTGTGTTTCTGCTGAAATGGTGAAACAAAAAGTCCACTATCAATAAATCTGGTTAAAGAGAGTTAGTCTACTCAACTGTTACGAAGAAAATTGTTAAAATACCTGCAACTTACCTTCTTGTGCTGTAAACTCACAAGGGTTAAAACTAAACATGCTCTGTCATGACTGAATGGAATTCTACAGGTATTAAGTGATTCTTAAAACATTATTGAAAGTAAAATGAAGTTGCTGAAAAAAGCTTTGCTTTGGTGGTATTTATTTTCCTAATTTCTGCCAGTGAATCAACATTTCTGTGTCACTGCTGTCCTGCTTTTTTTTTTTTTTTTTTTTTTTTTTTTAGTCACTAGCACAATCTGTTGTTTTTTTTTCATGTAATGTCAGTTACAGCACCTGCTGTCTAGTACTCATCTTACTGCTGGGTTTCCTCTGAAGGGCTGAATGACTTCATCAAGACGACTGTGATGTAGGTAAGTTTGCAAATGCATGATGCATATTCATGCAATGATACAGTGAACAGTGTTCTGAAGTACGGTCAGGATTATTTTGGGAGATGGCAGACGTGTTTTTGAAGACACTTTTGCATGCATGCATCAGTGAGTATGGAAACTCTTCATCCACTTGATCTTTGTAATTTACAGATCTAGGATGGCAAAACCTCTTCCTTCAGCAGACTGAAGGAAGAGGTTTTGTACTTTCTTGTAAATGTAAGCATGGTTGTGCCATATGATCCAGTCATGTTTTATGTTTAGAATTATTACACAATCTTAGTGCTGTTCATGGGACATAATTCCTCTGGTTTGCTCAGGTTACTTTCCTCAAGAAGTTGTAAGCATGGAGTTGGAAAAGCATGCACACATTGAGAGAAAAGCATGGGTTAAGAGAACTGTAATTAAAAATACTCAGTGATACTTCTGGGAAGATACTTCTGCCAAGGAAAAGCCACACACCTAGAACATTCTGGTTATTAATCCATAGTACAGCACAGTAGGTCGGATAATTAATTAGGTTTGACTCAATAACATTAAAACATATGTGAATTAGTTTGTACTTTTTTTCTACAAATTAATTTTATGTCTGCAAATAGCTTTTATTTTCATAACTATAAAAATCAGGAAGATTGACAAAGGCAGTAGTGCAGATCTAGCTCAGTAGCAAAAGTCAGTGAAACTTTATACAAGAATTAAACTAGATATGGCATCACATGATACTGAGGGGAAAAGAGAAAAGGCACGATAAGGATGGAGCACTTGTGGCTCATGCTGCCATACATTTTGTTCTGGAAAAAAAAAATATTCCAGCAGTTTAATGGAAGTGTGTACTGCTCAACTAAAATAATGCTTTTTGTTGGATGAAAGTGATTACATTGAACAGTTGTGGTTTCAGTACAGTCTCTCAATACACTTGGAGCTTCCCATTGACTAATAAGTGTATGTGTATACGTATATAAAAATAAGCATACTGTCCTGCTTTTGGTGAGTGCTCCTTCATGTTCCTGTTACATTACACTCAGACGGAAGGAAAATACCTCAATACAGAGAAGCTCCTCGTTACAGCATTGAGAATACCAAGTTTTACTTCTTTATATCCATGATTGAAGAAGGGAAACGTGCAGCTGGAGAGATGGGAAGTATTTGGGACTGATTTTTATTAATAAAGTTTGAGGCTGTATTAGTAAAAACATGGCTGGTGCAGGCCTGGAAGATAGGCTGGCCTCAGTTACTTGCGGCCCTGCACTCAGCTATTCTGCTCTGTGACCCAGCAACACTGGCTGGAGCCCAGACCACTGTACAGAACAGCTGCCTCTGACCACTGGTGCCTCTGTGGCATCAGCTGCTCTGCCACTGCTCCAGCTGACAATGCTGCTAGTAGATTTTATCATGTTTATAGCCTAATTAAACAATTGTGTACGTCTGAGCTGTAGTCATTGCACACATGCCAGAGCACGTTTGCTGTTTTTCAGTGCAGAAGTGTTGTCTTTGCTGTGCCTGTATTTTTTTAGAAGAATGCATGATGTTCTTTTTAGAGGAGTGCATGTGTATACGTATATATATGTTTTGAAAGAAAAAATGCATATCCTGGATTGGGCAGTGGGGTGACACTTTTTGTCCAAGGTAAGACAACAACTGGAAGTAGTCAGAATACAGAATTACAGAATCAGTTACAGGATGGAAAAGACCTAAACACTCCTGAGATCATTGACTCCAGCCTGAAACCTATGTGATTAAATCTGGCATTCTTTCTCTTTTACCTTGGTCAGACCAAGTTACTGATCCCACCACATCTGAGTGATACCTTAAGCCAGTTACAGATATTGATTCCTACACTCTCAGAATTTTGCTGATATGAAGATATTCCAAATAAAAGGCATTTGTTTGAAAAAAAGCTTTCAGTGAATTGCAGAACAAGACAACATCTTCATATTCCTGTCACTCTTAACACTGATAATAGACATCCATTTTGTGATTGCTCCACTATTCTAAACCCAGATGGAGCTTGGAGAACAAGTTACAAGAAATGTGTAATACACACAACTGGAGACTCGAACTCTGTGCTACTGCCAACTCCATTAACTTTACTGAAAAAGGAAGGTAATACTTTTAGCTGTTCAAATCAGTACTTACTAATTTCTTTAAGCAGTGTTTTATATTTGGAGAATAAATGCTTTGAAATTCATAAATTGATGGTGGTAGTGGTGCATTCAGTGGCATCTATCCCCTAACTTCTGGACTAAGGTTACTAGATGTTCCAAGTTGTAACTAATAGCTACTTCTCTGAAGTTTAGGAACTGTTGGAAGTATAATTAAACTATACATGAATAATTATATATAAATTTAATGGAAGTGGACCATTGCGACTGACAAATAAGTGACACGCTGACTTTTCTTTAAACTACGGAAAGCCTTGTTCCTGGTTCTGCTGTAGGCTGGCTTTGTAACCTTCCTCTTGTGTTTGTCATGTCATAGCTGAAAGCTAAAACACACTGTGGCAAACACCATTTTTAAAATCTGTATATGATGAAGCAATATTTGTTTTACAACTGTTACTACCCTTTTTCATGAAAAAGGAAATGCAGTGCTTTAGTTGCAAAATGAAACACATTTTGTCAGAGCTATATTCAACTGGAAAGTCTCTTTAATGCAACTGTATTATATAACACAAAGTTACAATTTCAGATCACATAATTCTGATCAGTAAGTAGTAATAACTGTTTAAGTCAGATGGGAATCTGAAATACATCATTGGATTGGGATCTTAAATGCTATTAAAGCTACAGTCAAAGCGCAGCTTGGCTCAACTTGTCCAATATGCTTGTATTAAGGTAGTCAGACTCCTGTTAAAAGTTAAAAAACTCACATTTAATTGAGATTTAGATTAAAAAGAAGACATTAGGTACATCATTCATGCTAACAGTTGTACATAGTGGTGAGTCAAGAACAGAAAAACAGTACCACAAATAAACCATGGCTCAAAACCTACTGTAGCTGGATTGCTGCAGCCGCTCTTCCTGTACCGAGGAGCTGTGTATGCATTGCTGCCATGCTCTGCTTTTGTTGGACTCTGCCCTTTCCTTGAGGTGCAGGCACCAGTGCCCATGGCTTTCAAGGAAGGCCTGAACTCCTCTCCATTTACCACTAGGATGTGGGAAACTCCAGTGGAGGGGGGGGGGGGGGGGGGGGAAAAANTAACAATGCAAAATGGAAATTATTTGGCTGAAAAAAAATATATATATCTCAGAATCCAGAGAACTTTATTGAGTAAAATAGATACAAAGGTGATATAGACAACCCAGAAAGAGCTCAGTAGCAATGTTTTTTGCAGTGCCACATTACAAATAAAGCACACTAAGAAACCTTGCTGAGCTTTTTGAGTGTTAATGACAAGAGGTGGACACAGCTTCACACTGGAAGTGTGTGTATTCTAAGTAATTCAAATCAATCTAGAAGATATTTTTGTTAAATCTTCAACCTGCTATTACTACTGTTGTATTCATCTTCAACATCAGTGATTTTATTGCGTTGCGCTATATCCACACCACCAAACTCCAGCCACTTCTTCCCTGGGAAGTCCCTTTTCCCATCACTTGTTTAAAAGCAAAAACTTAAAAAAAAAAAAAAAACAAACCCAAACAAAAAAAAAAACCCAAAACCAAAAAACAAAAACCCCAACAAAATAACCAAACCCCCCCCACAAAACCCACTCCTTGTATTGCACATCTCACACAAGTCTGTGTATATATATATAATATATATATTTAAATATGCTACAATTAAAAAAAAAGGTCTATGGCACTTTTTTGAATATAAGTTTTAAGAAGTTGATGAAACCACAGATGTTTGAAGAAATCTTCAATACCACAAAACAAAGTTAAACTGAACTAATTGGCACACAGGTTTTAAAGAATCCACAGCAAATTCCTCTAGATCCTATGCAGTGCATGTACATTAAGAAGCAGTTGCACTCTACAGCCCCCTCATGAAATCAATTAAATTAGCTTTAAGCTGATTTTGCTTTTTTCTTTCCCAGAGTGCCTTTGAAAGCTACTGCTGAGGTGAACTTCAGGAGCAATTTAAACAGCTGTGAAATTTAATGAGTGCACCCTGCACCTGAAAACCTCATCCAGGAAAAAAAAAATCCCTATATATACCACCTTATCACTTGCTAGAAAAACAGAACCCTGAGAAAAGAAATTCTGATTATTTCTCCTCTGTATTTCTTCCCAGCCTGTCTTCTGTGTGTACTATGTGACAAACATGGATATTCTTGCAAGTTAGTTAATTATGCTGTTGCAGAGCAAGCTGATAATATATCAGCAACAAGCAGAAAAGCTGGTTCTCCTTGGTTACGAATGCAAACAAAAGCAAAATGTGCCACTGAAAATCTCTTTAATACTTAAAAAATTCAAGCCCAAACAAAATGTACTATTGAAATCTCTTTAAGCATCATGTATATCACAGCAGAGGTCAGCTAGCAACATGAATGAAGGTTGTTCATTGTTTACTTCTCAACCAGAGCAGAGTATGCTCTCTCGACCTTTGTAAGGACTAACCTGACCTGATTCTGGCTAATCAAGTGCTTAAGCCAGTGCAGCATTTTTCACCCTAATACTGTGTCAAGACTTGTTGGCAGTGGTGACCTGGACTTTGGATTGCTACCCACCTAAGGAAGCTAAAACTGTACATCTGCTTAGTAATTAATTTTTGGCTGGTTTATATGGTACTCATACAAGTGCTTACCCCCTCTTTCCCAACTGCAGGGCCCTGGAGGGCAGGGCAGAGCTGAGCTGGTGGCCCAGGTTCAGCGCATGCTCCAGAAGGGGCTCAGGAGGTATGCCTGGAGGAAGCCTTGCTGGACCCCAGTACAAGCCCAGTGCATGTCCTTCAGGTGTGGGGGATGTGTATGGGGCAAAGCCAGCGAGACACACAGGTGTGGACAGGGTGTGTGGGTTCTTATTTTCACCCTCAAGCACCACTTCATGCTGGTAATTTTGCTTTATTAAAATCTTGATTTGTGCAGGCAGTTGGTCCCAGACCATAACTTTTGGAGGGGATTTAAATTCAGTATTTAAAAGAACAGTGAGTTCCCTGTTTTAAAGTAGTTGATGGTGGATGTGGGTTGCAGGAGCAGGTGAATGCAAGAAGAGGCTAGGTTAAAAAAATCCCTTTTTGAATACAGGCAGAGGTTGACCTTGTTGCACTGCGTCTCAGAGGTCACCTGTGTATCTGTCCAGCGCACAGGTGGCAGGTGCCATGGGCACAGAGGCACAGGCTGGAGCTGCTCTGTCACTGTGGTGGGCAGCCGGCGCTGGAAGGGGACCCCAGCTCCGTGACTGCTCGCCAATCCTCCAGGCTGCCCGGGCCCGCCGGCAGGACTGCTGAACAGCTCTTGTCTTGTGAAGCACATCAGCAGTGCCTTGAGAGCAGCTGCCTTCCTGGACAGTAACAACCATTTTTTTAATAACTAATGGCGCATTTTAAGGGACTGACCAGGCAAAACCAAGAATCTCTGCTCTGTGTAATAGTGAAGCAATACTGTCACTAGATGATGTTAAACTACCAAGAAATAAGAAAAGGAATTTAAAATTCACCTAGTATTTAATTAGAACTACTCAGATCAGTTATCCCCAATGCTCCTATGGCACAGTTGCATCATTCCTTTGTTAAAACACCTTACAAACTTCGTATCAGAAGTAGTTCTAGTAAGTGAGGCAACACCACAAATAACACAACGAGCTGGCTTTGAGAAAAAAATGGCATTTGTGGCAACGTCTGTTTAACTTCTGCAGATTTAGTTGGAAAAAGGTCTACTACTACACACATAAAAAAAAGGAAAAAAATCTTTCCAGCCACATAGAATTTGTAAAGGCTTCCTGAAAAATTTAAATTTCCTAAAGACTCATGTGCGTCTGGGTCATGAGACAGACTGATCTGTAGACTGGGAATGACGTTTCACTGACGAGAGAAAAAGTACAGCGTTGAATTACAATGTGGAATCCACAGTTGTAGGAGAGGTTGCAGCCCAGATAAGGCTGGTACTGTGGGGAGCTGTTGTCTGCTTGGGATTTCAGAAGTTTTAATAAAGGCTGTGGAAATATTTCAGTTTTATCTGAATCGGGTGAGAGCCAGTCTTAACAACATCTTCTCTGTCTAGTCAGTGGAAACAGTATTTACCTGCTAAGTAGTAAGTTGCACACTTGTGCTCTTAAGTTTCAAGAGAGAGAAACCTGGTAAGGACTTGACTTTCTAAATGACTTAAGATTGGTGTAAATGTCAGCTTTGCTCTCTCCTACATAGAGTTAATATCCAAGAAGGCACTGTACTTCTAGGAAGTTCACTACCAAAAAGCACCTCCATGAAAATGGTACCAAACCAGGTGATGGTAAAGAAATATTCACCCGTGAGGGGAGCCCTTGGAAACAAAGCCTCATTAAAATAGGCTTCTCTTTTGCTTTAAAAAAAAAAAATGTGCTGGCTTTTATTATTTTAAACCCAAATTCTTCAAAGTGACCAAGGTGGGTTAGGCAATCCGATCAATCAGAATTTTTCAGTTTTAACAACATTCCTGTTATATACATGTGATTACTCACATCCCCAGTCGGATTAATAGCACTGTGTCCTGATCACAGAATGAAACTAAAAATATCCCCAAGTATTTACATTCTGCTTTCTTGGGATCATTTCTCTGATCCTCATTGCCCAGCAAAGAAGAAAGACCCTTTCAGTAGTTCAGGGTTGGAATGCATGGGGCTCAATCACACAAATGGTAAAAACAGGTAAATGGATCTGCTTGCCCAGTCAATGGAAAGCAGATAAAGATCCAGGTGCTGGTATTTTTCCCCACTGGAGTTAAAGGAGGCAGATAAGGTTTTTTCCTTCTTCTATCTCTTCTTGCACTTTGTCACTGGATGTGGCTATTTCAGCTTGCGCCGAGAAGACTGCACAGATGAACGTCAGAACAGTGCCGCCAATAGCTGTGTAGAAAGCCCAGCCCAAGGAGCAGTCTCCTAGTTTGTAAGCAGAAGCATAAGGTCCACAATAGCTTATCGCCTTCTGGCATCCCCAACCTGCAGGGTAAAGTATCAAGCCTAAGATAAGGAAGAGCCCTAGAAATAAAAACAGAAAGAAGTTTTACAAACAATCAGTCTAACACCAAATGCAGTAATTGTTAAATAGTAATTAAACTAACAAATCTAGTAATTGTTATTATGGTCACTAATACTCATAATTTACCAAGATTAGGAGAAAATTAGATGCCATCTCATCCATCCAATCTTCCATTACTGATTATTCCCTAGTATATGCCATGCAGTCTTCCAACTAAATTTGAAGCTACCCTGTGATTTATGTCGTGAAAGGGTTACTTTTTATGATAATGGCCTAATTCCTTACTTTAATCTCTGTACTCCTCCTGCATCCTTTCCTCTCACACATTATTGCCACAAATACAGAGCATGCAAAATATTCAAGCGTCTCCACCTACTGCTTATGCTTGCACTTCTCAAAAATGTAGGAATATTTGCATCCACTTTTGATTTTGTATTTAGCTAGCCCTCATTTAGCTTTATTTAGCCATTCACCATAAACATGTTTGCCTGTTTTCCTCTGGATTTTGCCTACATTGATTCTCTTGCCTGGAAAAAAACAAACAAACAAAAACCAACAACAAACAAAACCCTACCCCAAAACAAAACAAAACAATCCCAAAAAAAAAACCCCAAATCACAAAAAAAACAGTTCCAGTTCTACTTTTTTTTGGCCACATTAGGACATAGTAGAAAGATAATACTGCCAGTTCACTAAGCTGCTCTCATAACAGAGGGATTCTGGAGTCAGCCTCAAACAAACAGATCCAAGTATCCATAGCCAGTGCATACGTAACCCTGGGATGCTCCAAACAGTTGACTTCAGAAGGAAAGCACTTTCCCAGTGATGGCAGGGGCAAAGGCCTCAACTCCCCATCTTGCTAAACACCCCCAACAGTCCGGTGTGCCTCAGGCTGGAAGTGAAAAGCTCAGACTAGTTGTTCTGCCCATGTGATTTTCTCTCATATTCACAGGTTTCTCTATGAAGACCATCTAAGCAGTGAAGGGCTTCATAAAGGAAATTGAAAGTCACATTATTGTCCCTGCACACGTGTCTTTGCACACAGAAAGGAGATTAATCAAAATGTCTAATATGCTAGTGGCTACAGTGCTTTTTCATGGGCACTAAAAAACATCACAATGCATTAAACACATACCTCCTTTCTACAAGGAATGTAAGAAGGAGCTAAACGTAAGAATAGCTCACAGTATCAAAATTTTCTTTCTGTTTACCTTAAAAATTTACTTAAAAGGAAAATAATGAAAAACAGTTTTTGTTTAAATACAGTCAGTTTATCCAGAAAATTAATATAGCTTTACAGATCACAGAAATATTTCTGATTTACTTTTTCTGCACTTTAGAGGCCTTTATTTAACCTGGTATGCTGATGAAAACAGCTGCTAGAAGTGCTGTCACCTTCTAGAATAGGCTAAAAGTTGTGCACAAAAGCCAGTCTTTTTTTTTTTCCTGTGACCAAGAGATTACAAAGAACAGGTTTAAAGACTTGTTTTCATCTTCTTCCATTCAGTTAGACTAGCAGTTAGACTTCTCTGCAGTATGTTAAGCGTTCCTTATTTGTTCATTCAAAGAAATTTGGCCAGATGCATGACATTTTCCTCATCAACAATGAAAATGTGGGTCCTAGCTAGTAAGCAGTTAATTTACACAAAATGCAAAAACCATCATCCAACTGTCTAAAATTAATGTCTGTGAATGCCAGACATTTCACAAAAGAAAGTCCTTCCTCCAGCGTTTTTCTAATGATGACACAACACCATGGGTATGAATGACCTAAATGTCATTACTCTTTGGGGCGGCAAAATCCATTAGTGAGTGATATCCGTTCTCTGTGGAGGGATTTCATCACTGCTTACATTTAAGAACCAGTGACAAATTTTATGCAGTGTTTCCTGGCTGGTTGGCCAAATACATTAAGTATAAAGTATTGCTTTATCTTGGACAGACCTGGATAAGCTGTGCATTCATCCTGCTGAGCCCTGCAGCCATTTCAGACTAAACACCAGCGGTTCCTTCTCCCCTATTCATCACTAGTTTCCTGTTCTGCGCAACCAGTATGATCACGCTGTGTATCTTTCTGACTGCACACTGGTATGGGCCAGTTGCTGCTCTCTCTAACGATCACAAGCCCTTTGGTAGGTAAAAATCACCATCACTGAATTAAGAAGCTGGATCTGAAATGCCAGCATAGCTGCTGCCAACACAGAAGTTTTTAAAGTTTACCACTCCATCACTCACAAACCTAGACAGCCCGTGTTTAACAGCAAACCCAGCTTATGGCTCAGTGTCACAAACAGGACCAAGAAGACACATCCATCACTTTTTGTCAAAACTAGAGCACTGGGCAACGCCTGAAAGCTACTGGTTCATGGAATATATGCCCCAAGCTGAAAAGCCATTATCCAAAACTCAGGCTCTGAAAAGGCACAGCACGGCTGCCAAATGTAGTCATCAGGACTTTACTGACTTAGACCTTTTTTTTCAAAAGTACAGAAAATTCCTGGATATATAAATATAACAAATACTATAAAAAGCCACAATTTGATAAACTTAATCTATTTTCTCACAGATGGAAACAAAATATGGAGGAAAGCCTTAACAATGGATTTGAAGACAGTCAGAGTGCGTACCTGATTTCAGACAGCTAACTTTGTAATTCCTACACTGGACCAGCATAATGAAACAAAAAAAAAAGTAGTATTTTCACTACTGAACCTCCTTCCTACTTCTCCATTTCAGTGCAGACAGAAAGTGTTTCATGAGCATCTTAGCACTGTCTCTAATATTATCACAATTTCTTATTTCATTAATAACTGGTTCCTGCTTGACAGGAAAAGTAAATAAATATGTCAATTCCATTAAGTCAATTCAAAACACCCAGAGGAGAAAGGCACTCCTTTGGTTCATGCTAGCAGCAAGGGGAGAGGCACAGGCCCCTCATCACATATTCAGCTCTAAGCTCCCATATCCAGAGCAATGGCTGAGCTGTGCAGCTCCCTTCCTGCCTCTCCCCATCATCCCAGAAAGGAGTGTTCAATTGAAGAGCAGCTTTGCTTCCTACCACCCAGTATCTCAGAAGAGACTGTCGCAGAGCCCATCTCAATGACTCCTACAGCTGAACAAAACAGGCAGATGATGCTCCACCACACACTAATAGTGCAAACCATTGCCTAAACTGCTTGAAACAGCAGACAGCAAAACAAAGCACTTAACTGTTCAATTACTCGCAGCCAGACACCCCTCAAAAAGAACCACCTGCTCTATTCCTGGAAACATGGATGCAAAGCGACAAGGAGAAAAAAACTATCTTCTGTTGACAGTTTGCCTTGAGACATATCTAGCAGGAGGACAGTAAATATTAATTATGGAGGTTTTTTCCTTAATAAATAAGTTTTTGTTTGTCCCTGTGTCTTTGAAGAGAAGCCAGTATACTCAAGAAAAAGAACAGAGAATAAAAATTGTGTGCTCTGTCTGAACAAGTTTTCTACAATGAACGTCTTCAGTTCTTTGTGCTGCTGTACAAGAAATTATTTTTAATTCACAGCCAACCTACCTGTGGAATTGTTGCTGTTTGTTCACCCTGCTGGGAGGAAGAAATTCACTCTGAAAATATTACAAGCTGTTTTCCACTGTGCTCATCTACAGGCACATCCACAGAGTTCATGCTTGCGCTGTCCTAGATTTAACTCCCTCTCTGGGCACAGCTGCACTGCTGAAACTGCAGCTTCTGCTGTACACATACCGCTGTTCCTACTTTTTAAGTAGCACAATCCCACTTCTTGAAATCAGTATGATTCTTTTTCAAAATTTCCTTTTTGTTAGTTGTTGCCAGTTCTCAGTTACCTCTTCTCTGAGGAATCCTCAAAACAGAGGTATGAATGTCACACAATGTTGCCATATGCCTAGGAATGACAACAGAGAACTATTCAAATTACTTTCAGAGTAATTCAGAGACCTCACCTATAACTCTTCGGTGTAAGTTCTGTCAGCAGAGAACATTTTTACATCTTTCACTGAAGGAAATTTCACCATATAACCTTTTATTATCAGGCCCTAATTACTTGCTTTTGAAAAGATGTCTTTGTGAGATTTAGATTTTAATGTTACTATTCAATTACTACGTATCTCCTGATTACAACAGCTTATTAAACATCAGGCATTCTTTACTTAAATGGTGTAAAAGCAACTCCTTTCCCTAAAACATCAAAGCAAAACCTTAGCACACTGAGAACATCAATATCAATATAGAAAACTGAATCACTGTGCAAAAATATTTCAGAAGACAGTTGATTAATGCTTTTCCTATAGGAGAAGACTTTTTGTATTTCTGCACCAAGAACTTTTCCCCTTTTAAAGGCCTGCAGCTGCACCAGGCTCCTCCTGGTTTTTGTACACTGCAGCAATGCCGCCAGGTCAACATTGTGGAAAACCAACAGACCAGCCTTTCACTGTGGGCATTTTTATGTCACATTATGAGCTGGGGTTCAGATCTGAGTAAAACCTTTCTTCTTCCTTGGAAGCAACCCCTGGGACAGGAGGTAGGGCACAGGCTTGTTTAGCCAGATGAAGGCATGCTGTTTAGTTTTGACAGTCTCCTGTGCAGCTGCTGTTGTGCCATATTAAACAAGAGCATATACTAACAAAACCACTTTCCATTGCAAAGCCTGAAACTATCTACTCATTTCCTAGCAAAATAGTAAAAAAAGCTTTTAAATAGTGCTGAAGAAACAGGAAATTAAGCAGCTATGATCAATGAGGTGGCACTGCAACGGGCTCCTATGGAGCTGCACAACTGAGCAGCAATATTTTAAGAGCAGAAAAGAAAAAGGGTAAAAGGGTAAAAGCAGGGAGGGACTAGCTTTGCAGCGCAGCGCAGGTGGGCTGCATCCCCAGTGGCACTGATCCTGATTGTTTTAACCTTCTGCAAAACCACAGGGGATTAAGAATCAGTCCAGGGACACTGCATCAACCAGGCACCCTACCTTTTTTGCTCACTTTTCCA